CTATTCATCAAATCCATGAACGCCGCTGGAGCATTAGTCAGGCCGAAAGGCATAACCACAAATTCATAGTGTCCATACCGCGACCTGAAAGCTGTTTTTGGGATGTCACCTTCCTTGATTCTTAGCTGATGATACCCTGAACGAAGGTCGATCTTGGAGAAAATCACCGCTCCCTTCAACTGGTCAAACAGGTCATCAATTCTAGGCAGGGGATACCTATTCTTGATAGTCACTTTATTGAGCTCTCTATAATCTATGCACAACCTCATTGTGCCATCCTTCTTTTTCACGAACAATACTGGAGCTCCCCACGGTGAGTAACTGGGCCGAATGAAACCCTTCTCTAGCAACTCCTGCAACTGTTTGTGGAGTTCTTGTAACTCCGCTGGGGCCATTCGATATGGTGCTCTAGATATTGGTGCAGTACCGGGCAGCAGCTCAATCTCGAACTCAATCTCTCTACTCGGTGGTAGTCCAGGAAGATCTTCGGGAAAAACATCACTGTAATCCTCCACAATTGGAACTTCAGATAACTGAATGGGTTCTCCAGTGCTCTTGTCTACAATGTGAGCTAAGAAAGCTTCACATCCACTCCGAATAAGTCTCCTTGCTTGCAATGCAGAAATCATCACCTTCCCTGATCCTTTTGGCTCCCCAAGAAACAAGAAAGGATTAGACCCTGCAGGCGCAAAACTAACAATTCTTTTTCGGCATATAATTGAAGCACTATACTTCTGCAGAAAATCCATGCCGAGAATCACGTCATAATCTCTCATATCAAGCACGATCAGATCCACAAATAACTCTCTCCCTGCAATACTCATTGGCACTGCTCGTAACCAATGAGTCGACAACATGATCTCTCCTGACGGAAGTGCTGTGGTGAACTTATACTCTAACTTATCTTGATGTGCTGCTAAGGATCTAGCAAACTCAAGAGATACAAAGGAATGCGTGGCTCCAGTGTCAAATAACACATTAGCATATCTATTAAGAACAAGTATCTGACCTGTGACAACACCGGGATTTATCGATGCCTCCTCTTTCGAGATTGTGAACACTCTAGCAACCGGAGCCTCTGGTGGTGCCTCAAGACGCCCTTGCTGGATGGATGGTCCTTCTAGATAAGCCTGCATATTATGGACAGCCTCTGAAGGTGTTGGATTTCTTGGCATGTGAGTGATCTGGTAGTTTTGCTGATTCTTTCTTGGACAATCTCTCGACATATGGCCCTCAAGGCCGCAAGTGTAGCAAGCTCTAGAACCCAATCTGCATTGGCCTGGATGATTACGGCCACAATTTGTACACTGTGGAAATTTCATCTGTTTATTTTGGTGTCCCTGATGGTGACCAGCTCCTTTTCCATCATTGCCCGTGAAGTTTCTCTTCTTGTTACTCTTCGAATTGTTCATGTGTCGATGTGACTGATTCTGTGACTGCGAAGGCACAGGCTGCGGCTGAGCGGGTACTGGACCGCTAGAGATGTAGTACTCCTTTTGAGTTGCTATAAAAACACAGTCAGCTAGTGTAGCTGGAGTCTGATTGCCATTCTCCAAGTGAACTGCTATATCCTTCCTAAGAGCTGCCAGGAACATCCTCACCTTATCTCTTTCCGTCGGGGCAGCTGTAGGACAAATACGTAGCAGCCTCTGAAATTTTGCCGCCAAGGTTGTGACATCCATGATTCCCTGGCGTAGACTCTGAAGCTCATCCCGGTACCTACGTGTGACACTAGCGTTGAAATACTGGTTGGTGAACTCCTCGTTGAACTGCTCCCATGTCATCTGCGTGATGTTGTACCTTGTTTCCACAGTCTCCCACCATATTCGAGCATCCATGGTGAGACTGTAAGATGCACATCGAACCTTGTCATTATCTGCTAGTTCCAACCCATTAGCAATGCCTTCCACGGTCTTCAGCCATCCCTGAGCAGCTAGAGGGTCTGGACCCCCTTCGAAATCCGCGGGCTTGATCTTCCTCCATGTGATCATCAAAGGTTCTTGTCTCGGTGCTCCGTGTCCCCTAGCATGATTATTTCCAGCATTTCCCCCTTCACCACCGCCCCTTTGATTGTTCGCGGTCAAACAGTCGATGGTTTGTTGCTGCTCCTGCAACTGTCTCTGAAGTTGCGCTACTAATCCTGCCAAATCCTGCTCGTGATTGTTTGCTTGCTCATTGTTGCTACCAACTGGACGACCACGAGTTCTCCTCATTTTCTTAAGGCACCTAAATATGAACTTTTATTTATGTACCATACACAATACAAAAGGCAAAACATTCTCACTTCTGTTCTCTATCTAATAAAACTCTTCTTGCTCAAGCACAGAAATTTAAACCTAACTTTAAATACTTACTTGAAAGATGATGAACACGTGTACGGTGACAAATGAAGTTACGGGACAACCTGGGCTCTGATACCAAATTTGTAACGCCCCTCTCAGGGTTAAAGGAGACGTCACATAAATTACTACTATATATAAAAAAAACTGCAATATAACGGCCGTTTATTTAAGAAATAACCCTGATAAAAATCTCAAATATAACAAAATTATAGCTCCAAATAAAAACTCAAAAAAATTCTAGTTATCACCAGCAAATGTGATAACCGCCTGGATCCAGGAATTTACTAAAACTTCAAAACCTCAATTATATAAAGTAATAATAATCTTTTTATTCTCACTGAAATACTGGAGTAAAATAAAACTAGCTAGAAGCCGCCAAGGTCGTTCCCGTTAACTCATCTTGGCACGCGTTCCACTCCCTCATCATCTTCCTAGGCCTTGGCCTTACCCTTAGTATCTGTACATGCGAAGAAAGAAAACTGATAAGCTTTACGCTTAGTAAGTCACTATGGATCCACAAAAAATATCTGAGAAGTCTATGCTAATTTATCAATAGATAAATTTAGGCTATAAGCATGCACTAAACAAACAACTAACAAGTAGCTTCTCAAATAAATTCTGAGAGAGATCCCAAAAGAAATATTTTCTAAAATAATTTCTCAAAACTGCTAGAGAGAACTCAAAATTTCTTTCTCAAAACATCTCTGTAAAACTTTCTGAAAGAGATCTCAAAATAACTTTCTGTAAAACTCTTTGTGGCTAATTTTAACTGTGGGCCCGTGATATGTACTCAAAGGCGCCAATCCGACAGCTTAGGGGAGCGACCCACAAAACATATCGGACTCTCTGAAACTGATAAACTGATAATCTGAGGGAACTTGTTCCCGAGTACATATCACCTGATCTTTCACTTTAAATATTAGTTCTTTTTATAGTGACGTTTGGGTAAAAAAAAACATCATTAAAATCTTGAAATAAAGCACTGACATAATCTTGACTATGCCAGATAATAAACATAACTTAATGCAACAATTTCAATAACTCATCAAATAATTCACCCAGCTCACGTAATAGCAAATAGTCTAAATTCATCTACTAAGAATCAACCAGACTTCTTTCTTTCATTTGGTTGAACAAACATGTACAGGTGGTAGTGAACTTACCTGATAGAAGCTGAACGCAATTTACTCAAACAAGTGTGGCAACTTGATAACGTCTTCCAGTAGGCTCTTCTTTGAAATCTTTAATTAAATATTAAATATAACATTATGCTTAAATCTTGTTATACTATAAGCAAAGCTGAAACAGTTTGTACTGAGAACCAATACTCTTTAATTTGAAAATCTATATTTCTGTTAAAAGTGCCGACCCAAAAGTCCAATTCAGTAGCCTTTTTGCTATTACCCCAGTTAGTTGCTTAAAAGAAAATAAGAACTATTTGACTTTGTTGTTTTAGAAATCCGGTTAAGCACCAACCGTGATTATTAATTCTGGATACAAGAACAAAAAAAAAATGGAATTCTTCTATCTTGCTTCTACGGAAAACTAAAAGAACACAACTTTTAACATATGGAAACCTTTTTATTTACAAGAACCTGCTAGATGGAGCTTGAAAGTGCAGGGAATGATTTCACAATGAGCAAAAACTGAAATCTGAGATTTATGTGCTAAACATTTGCAATACTTTGTATTAAAACGGATCAGGCTAACTCTAACCTAAACCTGAAACCCTCCCTAAAACCAAGGCATAGCAAATTCTCTCAATTTGATCAAAGAAGCTAACCAAACTTGCAGGAATTCATGCTTTTCAACAAGCCTAAAAGAACAATTAGAAATAGAGAGAAAAAGGAAATTGACTTACCAGGTTTGAGATTTGATTCAGAACCAAATAAACTTTGATAGCAAATTGGATGTGATGAAAACGTTTGCCAGAGAGAAGGGGCGGTTGCTGATGGGAGGATAGAAACGTAGGTCCTATTCTTTGGTTTCTAATATTACGTAAAGTCATTTTTTTTTCTTAGGGTTTTAGTAAAATATTGATTCGGGCCAAGATAACTGATTTGTGTGACACGGCCCAAAAATAATGAAACTGACCTAACGGATTGATTAAATCTTCACTTCAAAATTTATTAATAAAATATATAAAATTAATTATTTATTCAATTAAATTTTGTTTGAGCTTCCCGGTTAACGTTACCTGCCACAAACAAAACATGGTAAAAGAATGTCACATTATTTATAGAAGAAACTCATTTAATTGATTCAAATAAATATTAATATTGATTAATATAACTAGCTCATAAAAATGGGGGTGTTACAACCAACACATGTCGTATCTACCCCGATTGGAGTGCAAGTGTTGGTCATGCTCAAAGTACATCACTCCGAACATGTAGTACGTATTGACCTCAAGTCGGAGGACTATTACACTACTCTATACGCCGATAATCCCATAGACACATGAATAGAACTTATCAAATGGTTTCTCGGTGGGTATGCCAATATTCTCTAACATATATATGTGACTATCATGAATTACAGGAACTCATAGTTGTGAGATCAATTATACTTTCTAAAAGTATGATGCAGTCCACATACCAATCTTATCGCATATCATCAATATCTCATTCTTGATGATCATTGATTGGGGCTATTTTAGGACCTTATGTTATATCATATAAGCTCCCACTTACTTATTGACAACATAAATCCAAGAGAACACAATTATGAATAAAACATTGACAATCGAAAACAATCATTCATAAAGTGTAATACCGTGTATATATCAAATATAAAAAGTAAATGTGATCAAGTACATATGTCTCTAAAAAATGATTGTCGCTAGGACATATATACTAACAGAGGGTCCCCTTGTTTAACTCCCCACTTAGGTTTAAAGAAACCAGTGGGCACCCCATTGATTAAAATAGATAGATTAGTGGAGGACAGATTGTTCATAATGACTTGAATAAAGGATTGTGAAAAACCAAACCTCTGAAGCACTTCTCTAATAAACCGTCGAGAAAGCATATCATATGCTTTAGCCATATCTACCTTGATAACCACATTAGAACCTCTAATCTTTTTTTCCAATGAGTGAATCATCTCTTGAGCAATTAGAATGTGATCCACCATATCCTGGTTCTTCATGAATCCAATTTGCTCAGGGGAAATAATCTTGGGCAAAATAAGAGAAAGTCTGTCAGCTAACACCTTTGTTAGGAATCAAGACCACTACACTGCTAGATATCCCATAAGGAATAGAGATACCCATAAAAAATTCTTGAACAGCTTTAACCAAGTCTACCCCTAAAATATGCCAGCACTTCCTGAAAAATTTGCCATTAAATCCATCAGGATCAGGAGCACCATTTTGATTCAGACCCCACACTGCTAAATTAACTTCCTCCTCCTGAGGAATTTTCATTAAATTAACATTATCTTCATCATTAACCAGCTTGGGAATAAACTGCAGGAGTTCTGCAGCTTCAAACACATGTTCCACAGCATATAGATTTGAGAAAAAGTTGACAGCAGCCTCAAATATATCAGGTAAGGAGGTAACAATCTGCCCATGACAAATTGTTATTGAAGAGATACCTTGCTTCCTATGTTTAACTTTCAGAAAAGAATGAAAGAACTTAGTATTAGCATCTCCATCCTTCAGCCATTTAATATTTTCTTTTTGCTTCCAAAATTTCCTCTCCAACTTATATTTGGAAACTAAAAGTGTTTTAAGATGATTCCAGTGCTCTCTATTTGCCACAGTAGGATTCACTTCAAAATCATGTTCAACCAACATGACATTATTTTCACAATCCTTAATGCCTTCAAAGATATTTCCAAAAGAATTCTTATTCCAAAGCTTAAGATCCTTTTTCAGTAGTACGCAAGTTGAGAACGCTCCTTCTTCTCTCTAGGATTTTTCGCACGTCGGAATTTCTTAGTCATTCTCTCTTATCTACCGGTAGATTCCAGAGAGTTTGATTTTTTTTTTGGGCAAGGAACGAACGAAGCTTGAAGTCCCAGGTCGCTGAATTACTATTCACTCCCGATTTAGAAGGTGAGTTTGAATCCCAACTTATATTGGCTGCTCGTGGAAGAAGAAGGTTGGTTGGGGGTCGCCGGCCTCTGGCGCACCTCCCCCGCCTGGATTCCGACCACCCTGAAGCCGCCGTACCGCAGTTAGTAAAGATCCGTTGGGGTTTGCACTGTTCACCGATGAAGCTTTGACCAAAGATTTCTCAAAATCCTTTCGTTCAAATTGGTTTCTGAGCACAGTCCGAGGTTCGTAACTTCAAGGCGAGCATCTGGATACCTATTTCGCCGGAGTTGAGTAAGGTTTCCGTTTTCCCCCAATTTTTTTTTGGGTACTGTAGCTTGCTCGAACTCTGTGGACTGACGATTTTTAATTCAGTTTCTACTTGGGCTCTGTGAATTCTGCTTATACTGTTAGCATCGTCTAGCTAAGGAGTTCATTCGCTGATTTTGTGGGTTTTTTCTGAGTAGTTTTGATTTCGTAAGTTACTGTTCATCTTCCCCAATTTACTGGATTATGCTACAGTAATTCCTGCGAAATAAAAACTAGTTAAGTAATTCCCCTGGCTTCTGTACTGCTCTTTTGTGGAAACTAACTAGTGCAGGTTGCTCACCATATCAAGGGCTATCTTTCACACTTTTTTGAGATTTTTTGGAACACTTCCAAAAATCCCAATCTTTCTGTCTGCTACAGTAATTTTCGCTAGTTAAACATCTGCCCAGGTATCTATACTTGGTTTTTGTTTAATCTAACTATACCAGGCTGTTCAGCATATTGAGGGGTATCTCCTAGAGTTTTTTGAGAATTTTTGGAACACTTCCAAAATTCTTGGACACACTGCCTGCTACAGTAATTCCTACACACTTAGAATTAGTTAGAAATTTTTTTCTAGCTTCATTTCTACCTGTTTTCTGGAACTGATTGTACCTTTGTGTTCATCATCCTTTGAGGTATCTCTAACACTAATTCCAGAATTTCTGGAGCTTTTTTTTTTGTTTGGAAATGTACTGTTTACAGGTTCTCTCTTTGTGATGACAAAGAAGAGTAAGCAAACCCGTACCCCCCGCCAAAAGATGCTAAGTTTGAAGAGAAGGCCAAGTACATACAGGCTAAGAAATTAGCGGCTGAGCTAAAAAGGAAAGCAAAGAGAGGTGAAAGTGTGGACATGGTGGAGGTTTTGTTGGGTGTGTTTCGGAAAATAAAGAAAATTAATTAAAATTAATTAATTAAATAAAATGACTAGAGAAAAACAAGAAAGGAGATGAAGCAGAATTAGACAAAGCTCGTGCTACGCACGATTTCCTTAAAACGTATTTGTTGCCTCCCACGGTGCTAGGAGCGTTGCAACAATCGTTTCCCAGGATACGATGACTACGAACTAATGTTTGAGCACACAAACAAGAGTTCCAGCGAACGAGAACCAAGTATGAACACAGAAGGAATTTTGGGAGTAGCTGGAAGATTTTTAGCTCAAGAAAACGTGAGGAAAGTGTTGTGCGTTGTCAAACCGTGTGTTTGTTGCAAAGCACCTGCCAGCTATTTATAGGAGGATTTGTTGTGTGTTAAATGGGGTGTTAATGGACCTGAACGTTGGACATCACTGACCAGTCCGTTGGGCATTGAATCGTCCATAAACTGTCCATTTAACGCAGCATTAAAAGAGAAGAACGTTGGGCATTAATTGTTGTAACGGAAGAAGTGCGCGACAGAAGACCCCAACAGAACACCCCTTGGAGGGTTTCTGTCCGAAGCCAGCAGAACCCCCTTGGAGGGTTTCTGTCCGAAGCCAACAGAACCCCCTTGGAGGGTTTCTGTCCGAAGCCAACAGAACCCCCTTGGAGGGTTTCTGTCCGAAGCCAACAGAACCCCCTTGGAGGGTTTCTGTCCGAAGCCAACAGAACCCCCTTGGAGGGTTTCTGTCCGAGCCCTTCGGTCCGGAGCACTTCTGGGAAAAAATAAACGTTTCGGGAAGAAAACAAAAATTAACCGTATCTCTTGAGAGATAGATTTTTGGACGGCATTCGTGTCCGCAGGTCGCCCGCGCACACGAGTCGCGGTTTTTCTTCTCCGTTTCGGGATTTGATCGGCACCCCCCCCTGCGCGTAAGAGAGAGCCTTTCCCTTTAGGAATCTTAACTCCTTAAAAGAGGCTTCCCTTTATAAGGGGGTGAAAATCCCTTGAGTTTTTCGGTGTAGGATAAAACACACTAGAAACTCATCATTTTCCCAGTTTTTCCATTTCAACGAGTGAACTTCGAGAATCAATTTCTCATTCACCCGTTATCCGTTTTGAGCGTACCATATATCGAATTTTAGCCCTTAACAAGGACAATCCGAAACCACTTTGACCCGACCCAAATCGGAAGTGGACCCCACTCAAATAATTGCCTCAAATTGACCATTTAATGCAATTTTTAACACATTTTTCCAACAATCCCCCACATGAATGAAAATTGATTTTCGAGACTTCAAAAGACACGAAGATAGGAGGACACGTTGTGTTCACCGGATGATCCTTGCATACGGAGAGGTAGTATTATCCTTTCAACCTTCCGTTGTAAAGACATGTTTATTTACTGGCTGTCTAGTAGACTCGATGTCCTTGAACTATACTGCCGTCGTGTAAACATTGACTTATCTTTACACAAGAACCTTCCAACTTTATTCCGTTCTCATGGGTGTGCCCGTTTTGGCCATGGGTCACCGTCCTGGTTCTGCAAGAGTTTCTAAAGAACTGAGCCTTTACAGTTCTCCTTTGAAGCGGCCCTCTTCTCTCTCACATAGGTGATTCTTTCACGAGTATCCCGCATACTCTTCCAATGTTATCGAGTAGATCAACATTTTAGAATCATTAAAGCAAACGTTTTTTGCTAACCTCGTGCGGGAGTCACTGCTTTAACGAGGAGTGGGTAGGAGTCTGGGACCCCCACAGTGACCATCCTTCGCTCTATAATTTAGTTGTCCCTTTTGAACCTAGGACCAACTAGGTTGGGTATCCACTATAGAACTTTTCAATTCACGGGCTTTAGTCCCATTCCTCGTGACAACTTCTCCAACAATTCTCTATCCAATGCCTTGGTTAGCGGATCCGCTATGTTATCCTTTGACTTCACGTAGTCAACAGTGATAACACCCGTTGTGAGGAGTTGTTTATTGGTGTTATGTCTACGACGAACGTGTCTAGACTTACCATTGTAGAGATTGCTCTGTGCCCTTCCAATTGCCGCTTGACAATCGCAATGTATGCATATTGGAGGGACAGGCTTCTCCCAACTTGGAATATCCTCGAGAAAATGGCGTAGCCATTCAGCCTCTTCAGTGCACTTATCCAAGGCTATTAGCTCAGATTCCATCGTGGATCTAGCTATTAACGTTTGTTTCGAGGATTTCCACAACACGGCTGCACCTCCCAAAGTGAAAACATATCCACCTGTGGACTTAGAGTTCTTTATGTCGGATATCCAACTAGCGTCGCTATACCCTTCAAGTACAGCTGGATATCTTCCATAGTGCAGTCCAAGGTTTTGGGTTTTACGTAAATACCTCAAAACCCTTACTATTGCCTTCCAATGTTCATCACCGGGGTTGCTAGTATATCTACTTAGCTTACTAACCACAAAGGCAATATCAGGCCTGGTACAACTCATTAGATACATCAAACTTCCAATAATCCTAGTGTATTCTACTTGAGAAATACACTCTCCACGATTTTTGGTAAGATGAGTGTTTTTATCTAATGACGTCCTTGCCTCTTGATAATCATCCTTATTAAATTTAGTAAGGATTTTATCAACGTAATGGGACTGGCTTAACGTTAGACCGTCAGGTCCTCTAATTATTTTAATCCCAAGGATTAAATCAACCAGCCCCATATCCTTCATGTCAAATTTAGAATTTAACATGCTTTTGGTAGAATTAATCATTAGATTATTGCTACCCACGATGAGTATATCATCCACGTATAAACATAAAATGACATAGCCGTCTACCGTGCTTTTCACATAGACGCATTTGTCACTTTCGTTTATCTTAAACCCATTAATTAACATTGCATGATCGAACTTTTCGTACCACTGTTTAGGGGCTTGTTTCAATCCATACAATGATTTAATTAATTTACAAACCTTCTTTTCTTGGCTTGGAACATGAAAACCCTCGGGTTGTTCCATATAGATTTCTTCGTCTATATCGCCATTTAGAAAAGCGGTTTTTACGTCCATTTGATGAACTTTCAAATTTCGCAAAGCGGCAATCGCTAGTATCATCCTAATGGAATTTATTCTCGTCACGGGAGAATACGTGTCAAAGTAATCATGGCCCTCGCGTTGCTTGTATCCCTTGATTACAAGTCTGGCCTTATACTTATCAATGGAACCGTCTGGTTTCATTTTACGTTTAAAAATCCACTTGGATCCCAAAGGTTTACATCCCAGAGGGAGATCAACCAATTCCCACGTGTGATTTTTTAGGATAGAGTCCACCTCACTTTTGATGGCTTCTTTCCACATAGGACCTTCAGTAGATGTCACGGCTTCCGTATAAGTCCGTGGCTCATTTTCTACCAAACATGTTAGAAAATCTGGTTCATTTTCTACCATACATGTTAGAATATCCGATTCAAATTCTACCAGGTAGGTGAGAAAATCCGGTCCGAAGGATTTTTCGACTCTAGCACGTTTGCTACGTCTGGGTTCGGGTTCTTCTCCGGATCCCTCGCTAGTATTTTCCATAGCTACGTCAAATGTTCGTTTTGACGTGCTAGGCCCTTCGTTGGACTTGCATGGAAATACATCTTCAAAGAATGAAGCATTCCTTGATTCAATTATTGTGTTTTTATGTACATCCGGATTATTCGAATCGTACACTAAAAACCGATAAGCACTACTATTTTGTGCATATCCAATAAAAATACAATCCACCGTTTTTGGACCTATTTTTATTTTCTTAGGTGTTGGTACAAGCACCTTAGCAAGACACCCCCACACTTTTAAATATTGATAGGAAGGCCGTCTGCCTTTCCACAACTCGTACGGAGTTTTATCATATTTTTTCCGGGGAACCTTATTTAAAAGGTAATTGCTTGTCAAGATTGCTTCGCCCCACATATTTTGTGGCAAGCCCGAACTTACTAGCATCGCATTCATCATATCTTTCAATGTGCGATTCTTTCGTTCGGCAACACCGTTTGATTGAGGTGAATAGGGTGCGGTACGTTCGTGTACTATACCCACACTAGCGCAAAAGTCACCAATTGGTGCTTCATACTCACCACCTCGATCACTCCTAACCGTCTTAATCCGTCGATTAAGTTGGTTTTCCACTTCATTCTTATAAAGAATGAATTTATCGATTGCTTCGTGTTTATTTTTTAATAAATAAACGTAGCAATAGCGAGTGCTATCATCGATAAACGTAATAAAATATTTATTACCGCCACGTGTTTGTATTGATTTAAAATCACAAACGTCACTATGAATTAATTCAAGTGGTTCCGTTTTTCTTTCAACTGATTTGAAAGACGTTTTCGCTAGTTTTGCCTCTACACAAACTCCACATTTGTGCTTCACATCAATTGTGAATTTAGGAATGTGCTCCATGTTAATTAATCTACGTATAGAATTAAAATTAACATGTCCTAGTCTACCATGCCACACATTGGAAGACTCAAGCACGTAAGCAGAAGGGATTTTATTATTATTAATAATAATAGTCGTTACATTGAGCTTAAACAGCCCGTCACATGCATACCCCTTGCCCACATACATTCCCGATTTAGACAAAATTAATTTGTCCGACTCAAAAACCATGCGGAAGCCATGCTTGTTCAACAACGAACCGGAAATCAGGTTTTTGCGTATTTCCGGAACAAACAACACTTGGTTGAGAGTCAGCTCTTTGCCCGAAGTCATCTTCAGGACCACCTTGCCCACGCCTTCAACCGCGGAATGAGCCGAGTTACCCATCCACATTTTCTCACCATTTGATGGCTCAAAAGTTGTGAATAACTCCCGGTTTGAGCAAATGTGTCGGGTTGCACCGGTGTCCACAAACCACTCCTTGGAATTGGATCCAACGAGGTTGACTTCCGTAACCACAGCCGCTAGGATGATATCTTCATCCTTTTGCCCACCTTGCACCAAGTTGACTTGAGAGTCCCTCTTCTTCTTGGGTGCCTTGCAATCCGCGGACTTGTGTCCGTTTTTATTGCAGTTGAAGCATTTTCCGTTGAACTTTGTCTTGGAAACGCCTCCCTTGGGACCGAGCTTGCTCTTCCCATTATTCTTGGTTTTGGAGCCTTTTGCATGCTCCACCACGTTTGCCTTGGCGCCATGAACAATTGGGAGTTTCCCATCGTTCTTCCGGTTATCCTCTTCAATCCGCAGACGGAGGATCAATTGCTCCAAGTTCATTTCCTTTCGCTTGTGCTTAAGGTAGTTCTTGAAATCCTTCCAAGCCGGCGGCAATAAATGGATAATTGACGCCACTTGGAAAGACTCACTAACTGTCATTCCTTCATCTCGAATTTCGTTGAAGATCATTTGCATCTCCTCAACTTGACTCAAGACCGTCTTCGAATCCACCATTTTAAAGTCAAGGAATCGACCAACAACAAATTTCTTTGCGCCGACATCCTCGCTTTTATATTTGTGGTCCAAAGCATTCCATAGCTCCTTAGCCGTAGCTAGTTTGCTATATACGTCGTACAAAGCATCATGCAGCCCGTTCAACACATAGTTTCGGCAAAGGAAGTCCGAATGCTTCCATGCCTCAACCACGTTGAAAGATTGCGCATCCACCTCACCCCCGGTTGCTACCGGCGCATCCTCGGTCAAGAACCCCGCAAGACCGAGAGTAGTGAGATAGAAGAGCATCTTTTGCTGCCACCTTTTGAAGTTTAACCCATTGAATTTCTCGGGTTTCTCCACAGAGTTGCTTGGCACAGTCACCATAGGGATAGCCCTTTGGTTGGCCAAAGTAGATGCACCGCGTTGTGAACCATTGTTCACCGGTGCTCCACTTTCAGAGTGATTGTCGTTCAGAACATTCTGCCCAACACCAATCTCGTTTTCTTGAGAAGTCATTTTCGTTCTTTAACGTTTTTCCGAAAACACAAAAAAAAATAAGTTCGTTCACCAAAGTGACAAACTACGATTTAAGATTGTTTACCACAGTAGAACAATCAACAAATACGTTTTAAGATTGTATCCGTATGATACAAGCTCAACAAGTACGTTTTAAGATTGTTGGGTGTGTTTCGGAAAATAAAGAAAATTAATTAAATAAAATGACTAGAGAAAAACAAGAAAGGAGATGAAGCAGAATTAGCCAAAGCTCGTGCGACGCACGATTTCCTTAAAACGTATTTGTTGCCTCCCACGGTGCTAGGAGCGTTGCAACAATCGTTTCCCAGGATACGATGACTACGAACTAATGTTTGAGCACACAAACAAGAGTTCCAGCAAACGAGAACCAAGTATGAACACAGAAGGAATTTTGGGAGTAGCTGGAAGATTTTTAGCTCAAGAAAACGTGAGGAAAGTGTTGTGCGTTGTCAAACCGTGTGTTTGTTGCAAAGCACCTGTCAGCTATTTATAGGAGGATTTGTTGTGTGTTAAATGGGGTGTTAATGGACCTGAACGTTGGACATCACTGACCAGTCCGTTGGGCATTGAATCGTCCATAAACTGTCCATTTAACGCAGCATTAAAAGAGAAGAACGTTGGGCATTAATTGTTGTAACGGAAGAAGTGCGCGACAGAAGACCCCAACAGAACACCCCTTGGAGGGTTTCTTTCCGAAGCCAGCAGAACCCCCTTGGAGGGTTTCTGTCCGAAGCCAACAGACCCCCCTTGGAAGGTTTCTGTCCGAAGCCAACAGAACCCCCTTGGAGGGTTTCTGTCCGAAGCCAACAGAACCCCCTTGGAGGGTTTCTGTCCGAGCCCTTCTGGGAAAAAAATAAACGTTTCGAGAAGAAAACAAAAATTAACCGTATCTCTTGAGAGATAGATTTTTGGACGGCATTCGTGTCCGCAGGTCGCCCGCGCACACGAGTCGCGGTGTTTCTTCTCCGTTTCGGGATTTGATCGGCACCCCCTCTGCGCGTAAGAGAGAGCCTTTCCCTTTAGGAATTTTAACTCCTTAAAAGAGGCTTCCCTTTATAAGGGGGTGAAAATCCCTTGAGTTTTTCGGTGTGGGATAAAACACACTAGAAACTCATCATTTTCCCAGTTTTTCCATTTCAACGAGTGAACTTCGAGAATCAATTTCTCATTCACCCGTTATCCGTTTTGAGCGTACCATATATCGAATTGTAGCCCTTAACAAGGACAATCCGAAACCACTTTGACCCGACCCAAATCGGAAGTGGACCCCACTCAAATAATTTCCCCAAATTGACCATTTAATGCAATTTTTAACACATTTTTCCAACAGGTTTTACCAACACCGGATCAACAAGGCTCTTCCAACTCCATTGGGGGTGTTTCTTTGGACCCGAACGCTGAGATTGAGACTCCATCTCCTGAGGATACTACTGTGGCCGAGGCTTCCTTGGCTATTTCTATTGCTAAGGGTGATGATGCTTCAAATATGGAGCCATCTCTTGCCCCCCATACAACGGGGGGAGGTGGTTCTTTTGCGGAGGCACTCTTGGGGATTTCCTCCTCAACAAATGTTGGGGCAACAAAGGAGATTTCTATTACCAATGCTAAAACAAGTTCCATTGAGGTTTCGGATGAGAATCAAGTGACTATAGAAGAAGAGGATGAATCTATCACACTAGGATCACAAGACACCATGCCAAAGAAACCAATTGAAAAGGAGGAGGGTGGTGATAAACAATGGTCTAAATTGTTCCATGATAACCGAGCCCCCTCATATGGATTAAAGCTTGAATACTTCCCTCCTACCGGAGAAAAATTAGATTTCTCACATCTCAAGGTACCGTCACTCATTGAGGTGTGGGGTTATTGCTTGGTAGGCCATTTCTCGGGAAGGTTTCCGGGGATGAAAGCTATAATCGCTATGACCAAAGCTTGGGAAGTGGAAGTACAGGTTAAGACTCATAGCAAGGGTTGGGTGATTTTCAAGTTTCCATGCGAGGTTGACCGAACGAAAGTGCTTTCCGAAGGGCCCTATGTCTTGTATGGAAAAACTATGTTCCTTAAAGAGCTATCGGAGGATTTCTCCGTGGACAGTGATGAATTTTTAAAAGTACCAACATGGGTTAAATTCCCTAGGTTACCGATGCGGTTGTGGCAAGCGAATGAGATTGGGCGTATTGCTTCAATGGTGGGGGTTCCGATCACAACGGATAAAATAACCCAAGAGCAAACCTATACTTCTTTTGCTCGGGTTCTCATTGAAATTGATGCATCAAAACAGCCGGTCCTCCAATTTCCAATTATTCTTCCATCCGGGAAAGAACACACACAAAGAGTGATATATGAAACCTATCCAAATTTTTGCTACCATTGCAAAACATTTGGCCATCATGCCTTCACGTGTAATATTCTTAACCCACGGAAGGAAGTTACCAAGGGAGGTGACACGGCTAAGGGCACTACACTGGACGTGGTCAAGGCAAATATGAGTCAAGTGGGGGCTAACAAAGGCAAAGCTATTGTTGCTAATGAACCGGCTGAGCCTCCTTTCCAAACTGTCCAGTCCAAGAATAGCCGCTATTTCTTCAAGCTGTCGGCTTCCCTTGCTTTGCCTAGCCACAAACGCAAGACCAAAAAAGTATTCAAGGAAGGTGACTACGAATGGGAGGGCCGTGCTATCTCAAGTGTACACGAAATGGAGCCGGACGACATAGTTAACAAGTTTGTTACTAATGAAGACGGTGTTCAAGAAGTCTTTGTGAAAAAGCGTCATCAAATAAAGAGCATTTACTCGGTGGCTAGGATCGGTATGGTGTTGCATAAAGAGGCAAAGGATAGCGAACCGGGAATCTTTTTCACGGACCTATGTCTCACATCTCTCCCCGGGGTGAAACGTGCAAGAAGGTGGTATGCTTTTAATAAACCTTTGTTTATTGCTAAAGTTGCTAGTTTTTTTGATGTCAATGCTAGGCACAATCAACACTTCTTGCAAGCTAAAGTTCTGCCCAAGGGAGCTGCCACCGTGGATCCGAAGCCCCCTGAAACCGTGGATGGTGCTAGCACATCCAAAGCTACAAAGCCGAAGCCTATTTACACCATGCTTTCAATGTGTGATCCAATTACCGGAGAGGAGGGCACACAGACTACTATAGAAGATCCGGAAGGACGCTTGATTCGAAACATGCATCAAATGTATGATGATGATGTAGTCACCGGCTTCTTCAAGGATGAAAATGACAAAAAGGTGGATTTTGTATTGCCTTTGGATGATGTGGATAATGATGAGAAAGTGGTGAAAGTGGGACCTAATCTCCAATGGGTGTCTTGTGAAGAACCGGGAGTCTTTTTCACCGAGCCATGCCTACTTTCTCTCCCAACGGTCAAGAAAAACAAGGATTGGTATGATTTTGATGATTTAATTTTTACTAACGAAGTATTTAATTTTTTTGATGCCAACACCGCATGGAACAAAAAATACTTCAAAGAAATGCAAAGAAGGAAGAGGAAAGAGGCTCGTGATAAAGAGAAGGGGGCTGTCCAACCGGGGGATGATGGGTACACCTCGGACTTCTATCTCTCCTAATGATAAAGATCCTCACATGGAACGTACGAGGTTTGAATAAAACCTCCAAGCATAAGTTAATTGCTAGTATTATTAAATCAAACAATGTGAATTTATGTTGTTTTTTAGAAACAAAAATGACAAAGGCCAATTTTACAAACTTTGTTTCTAACAAATGGCCCGGCTGGTTGTACGAAAATAATTTTGAAAAAAAAAATGGGGGCCGCATGGCTTTAATGTGGAACCCAATTTTTATTAATTGTGTGGTTTTAGAGAATGAAAAACAGTTTATGCATACGAAAATCGTTTGTCGTATTACGCAAACTTCTTTCTTTGCTACTTTTGTGTATACTCTATATTCCGTTTTGGAGCGTAAATCATTATGGGAATATCTCACTTCGCTAGGGGATGGTTTTACCGAACCTTGGCTAATTGCGGGTGACTTTAATTGTGTTTGCGCTCCGAATGAAAGGGTGGGGGTCTCCCCCCCTACGGCATATATGATGCAACATTTGTTGGATTTTAAGGTCTCGAATAACTTAATGGACGCCCCATCTACGGGGGAATTCTTCACGTGGAATAGGGGTGTCCTTTGGGCTAAGCTTGACCGTGTTTTAATTAATGATGGTTGGGGACAAAATGGCTTCACTTGTAGCACACACTTTAACGAAATGGAAGTCGAGTTTGATCATACGGCCTCCGTTACATCTATACTCCGCAACCATTCACATAAAGTAAAGCCATTTAAATTCTTCAACATGTGGTTAAAACACCACGATTTTTCTAACCTTTTAGCGCAGGTATGGAACCAAAGGGTAGAGGGCACGGCCCAATACTCGTTGGTTAAAAAATTAAAGATGTTGAAGGGCCCGTTAAAGAAGCTAAATGAAAAAGATTTTTGCCATATTTCTAGCAAGGCTAAAGTGGCGAAAGAGGAGTTCAAGAGAATCAATAAGCTAGTGCTCCAAAATCCATTTGATGAGGGACTCCAATGCCAATTGAAAGAAGCAAGGAAACGGGTCACCTTCCTTAGCGAAGCGGAAACAAGTTTCTATCAACAAAAGGCGAAAGCGACTCACATCTTGGAGGCCGACAAGGGCACTAGGTATTTTCACGCCATTGTGAAGAGAAACGCATCAAGAAATGCAATCTCTTCTATCTCCTTGGAAGATGGCTCACTCACTACGTCTCTAGACCAAGTGGGAAATGAGTTTGTAAAGTTTTTTATTGATTTATTTGGTACACAGGTTGATTGTTTTGGCCTTGACCCCATGGTCTTGGCCTCGTTCCCCCTCATTGAACCTAGTGTTCATGAAAGCCTTGTTGCTCCAATTCAATCAATAGAGATTAAAAACGCTCTATTTGATATTGGCAATGACAAGGCTCCGGGCCCGGATGAATTTTCTTCGGCTTTTTCAAAGCAAATTGGGAGACGGTGGGGAATGACATAGTCCATGCTATTAAGGAATTTTTTCGTACGGGCAAGTTGCTCAAACAAATTAAACACACGGTTATCGCACTTATCCCAAAAACGAACCATTCCCCAAAAGTTTTGGACTATAGACCCATTTCTTGTACGAAGGTGTTGTATAAAATTATCACAAAGATTATAGCAGCGAGACTCACACCGTGCCTTCCCGCCATGATTGATCAGGCCCAAGGGGCATTTGTTGATGGCCGCCTCATGTTTGATAACATTTTCCTAGCCCAGGAACTTGTTAGAGGATACACGAGGAAGCGGATCTCACCGAGATGCATGGTCAAGGTGGATCTTCGTAAGGCCTATGACACTATTTCATGGGATTTTCTTGATAAGGTGCTCAAGGGCTTGGGCTTCCCTTTGAGATTTGTTGAATGAATTATGGCATGCGTCACGTCTGCATCTTTTTCTGTTTCATTGAATGGGTCGCTATATGGATTCTTTGAGGGTAAAAGGGGCATTCGACAAGGAGATCCAATGTCTCCTTTATTGTTTGTCCTGTGCCTAAAGTACTTATCCCGATCACTCAACTTGAGAACAAATGGACCCAATTTTAATTTTCACCCTAAATGTGCACCATTGCGAATCTCCCACTTGGCCTATGCTGATGACCTTATGTTGTTCTCTAGGGGCGACAAGAGCTCTATTGAAATTCTCGTCAAAGCCCTACAAGATTTTGGGGACGCATCGGGTCTTAAGGTGAATTACAATAAATCAAACATCTTCGTGGGGGGTGTGAATGAATTTGAACTCCAAAACATTTTGGACATTGTAGACTTTGGGCAAGGAAATTTCCCGGTCAAGTACCTTGGAATTCCCCTTACCCCACTTAAAGTATCGGTGGCCCAATATGCCCCTCTAATTGATACGATCTTAGAATTCTTAAATGCTTGGAATACGAAAACCATTTCTTATGCCGGGAAACTCGAGCTAATAAGATCAGTGATCCAAGGGGTCCAATCGTTTTGGCTACAAGTTTTTCCAGTACCTCGAGCTATTTTAGATAGAATTGTATCCATTTGTCGTATATTTTTATGGGGAGGGAAATTTGAGAAAGTGGCATGGGACGACATTTGCCTCCCAAAAGAGGAGGGGGTCTTGGTATACATAATGCAAAAATTTGGAATCAAGCCCTCCTTTCTCGTACACTATGGGATGTCCACCTAAAAAAGGACACCTTGTGGGTGAAGTGGGTAAATGGCATCTACCTTAAGGGTAAGTGTGTGTGGGAATTCGTCCCACACAACCGGGATTCGATGTTTATGAAGAATTTGGCGACCATACGCGATAATATCATGAGATGTTTTAATAATAAAAATGACACCATCTTGGGATTAGCCTCTCGATCAATTAACGGGAAACTAATCTCAAGCAAAGTGTATGAGCTTCTAAGAATTAAAGGAACGGTTAGGGCATGGATGAGTTTCATCTGGAAATCTTCCATCCCCACGAAACTCTCGTTTATCGTTTGGTTGGCTTTAAGGAACCGGCTTCCTACCCAGGATAGCCTCGGTTATCTACACTTGGTGAATAGGTGTGACTTGTGCAAGGGTGGTTTGGAGACAATACCACACCTTTTCTTCCTTTGCCCCTTTACTTGTAGGGTATGGCAGCATATTAGGAATTGGATGGGACTCGGACATGATATGACAACACTGTTGAGCGCCATCAAGTGGATCATGAAGACGCGCAAGGGATCAACGCTGAAGGCAAAGGCTGCCCGTTTAGTGTTCTGTGTCGCGGTCTACTACATTTGGCATGCAAGGAATGAGTTACGTTTTGATGGAGGATCGAAGACGGAAGAAGATATCATTGCTAAGATCAAGCATGTGGTGTATATGGTCCTATATAGCCTATACCCGCATGACTTGATCAATTTCTGAGGGATGGCTGTTGGAGCCACGACATAACCGTTTTGGGACAAGTGTGCGCGCGCCTGGCAACACCTTGGATTTCTGTTTGGGCTAAGGGGAGTGTATACTATAACCTCCTCTTGACTGGGTTCCATTTCATTTTTTTGTGACCTGTGTGCGTGCACGCTTGCAGCACTGAGTTATTTTTTTTGTGGTCTTGGGCATTTAGTATTGTATACTTAGGCCCCTTTTGATTTCTATTTAGATCGAACAAAAACCTCTCCTAACCCTTAACACGGGTGGGGGGTTTTGGGAGATCTAGAACCTTCTTGATGTATAGTTTTTCTTGGGTGTTAATATATATTTACATTTCATCCAAAAAAAGAATTCCAACTTTTCAGAACTATGTCTAAGAAACTAGGATGGTTAATCCACATATTCTGAAATTTGAAGGACTTAGGGCCAAAATAATCATCAGAATAACATTTGATAAGGATATTATTGTTATGGGGGCGTGACTATTGAAAGTGCCAACTGTGATCTTGATTCTTGACCAACGAAGAGGGGTAGTTTATCAGAAGAATATGGTGTTGCTTAGGGTAGAATATGAATACAAAATAGTAATAGAAAAAGCCATGGCCAAACGCTAAGATTTGTGGCATTTAGAATATTAGCTGTTTGGGACAAAATGCTAACTAGAGAAGCCACTTAACCAAACACTTTAATTAGCTTTATATTAAATTTCCCCCTACATCCGTTTGTGGAAAGGTTCTCATCTTTATATTATATCTTTATCTTTATTTTTATATTATATAGAGCAATTGGGTGGCCAATTGATTTTGAAATCTTCCCGCCTAAAACAATTTTGGTAGGGATGGACTCGGGCCGGGTGGCCCGACCCGGAACCGGCCCGGGACCGGCACTGTTCCGGCCCGGCCCGACCCAGTGGCCCGGTCAGTGACCGGTCCGGGTAGGCCCGGCCCGTGGGTTTTCCGGTCCGGGCTCGGGTCACCCAAAACAAGGCTCGACCCGGCCGGGCCCGGTTCGGGCCAATTTTTTTTTTTTGTTTTTTCAATTTTTTTTAACTTTTCGGGTTGGGCTGGGTATTTTGGGCCATTTGGGGTGGTTTGGGGGGTTGGGGGTGGGAGGGGGGTTAATTAGGAAGAGGAAAACAAAAAAAAAATATAATGGGCCTGGCCCGGCCCGGGCCGGTCCCGGGTCCACCATTTCTGACCCGCCGGCCCGCCCGGGCCTAGGCCCGACCCGGACCCGGCCCGGACCCGAGTCCAACCCTAAATTGAGGTGGACAATTGATTTTGCAATTTTGCAATTCAATTGCTTGGTCTATCCAGGCACATAATTAATCTTTATATTATATAGAGCAATTGAGTCATTTGGGTGGCCAATTGTTTTTTCAATTTTCCCGCCTAAAGCAATTGGGTGGGCAATTGATTTTACAATTTTTCAATTCAATTCTTTGGTCTATCTAGGCACAAAAATAATTCAATTAAAAGTCTTTTATTATTCATATAACCATGTATTTTATATTATATACATACGTGTAGGACCCAAATAATCATTAGTAGTATATTATAATAGTAATATATAGTACCTTCGTCCGTTGAAAGGTTCTTACTGCAAAATGTCAAGATTATTTAGACAATAATTAAATATGATAGTCGAAGTATATTTTGAAAAATAAATTTGATAGGTATATAATATGATGAGGTTAATGGTGATAATTGTGATGTTATAAATGCATTATTTTTAATATCTGATAATTAAGTTGTAATTTAAGAGTATTAATCATTTCGTAAAAGAGAAATGAGAACCTTATATGGACATCCAGAAAAAAGTGGGAACCTTTATATATGACACAGAGAGAGTACTTTGTATATAGTGGGAATAACATATCATTTTGACTATTTAATTGCATAAATGTCACGATGACATTGGAGATGATGTTGATGACACAAAATTTTGATCCGAAGAAAACGACAGACATAACAATTGATTTGACAATTTTGTAATGGAGTTGTTTGGCCCATCAAGACACGCACTTAAGAGTCATTTACTATTCATACGACCATATATAGTATTTCCGTTCTTAAATAATTGTACAATTAAAAATTTACATTATTCACGTGCTCTACTATTACTATGTTTTATTTTATTAATGTATTAATAATTTATTTTTAAAAAATACTGTGTATAATTAAATTCCCCTCATTCTAAATTTTCAAAAGGTGATTTTTGTGATTTAATCAGTTTTTTTGGATAAAGTAAGAAATTGTAATGTTTTCATAAGGTGCTCAACTATTACTATTCCCTCCGTCCCTCAAAGTTTGTCATAGTTTGACTTCATAAGTTTTAAGGAGATGAATTTGACTTTACACTGTAGCGACACTGTTTCACACTGTAGTGGCACTGTTTGGCACTGTTCGGCATTGTTTTGCACTGTTTGACACTGTTTGGCTGGTATAGATTTGTTTACCAAATAAGGAAGTTGAAAAAGTAAGACAAACATTTTGGAACATCCGTTTCGAGAAAGTGTGACAAACTTTAAGGGACGGAGGGAGTATGTTTTATTTTAGTAATGTATTAATAATTAATTTTTAAAAAATACTCTGTATAATTAAATTCACCTCATTCTAAATTTTCAAAAGGTGATTTTTGTGGTTTATTCAGTTTTTTAGATAAAGTAAGAATTTTTAATGTTTTCTCATAACATGATCATTGATCGATTGGGAGAACTATCAAATAAGCCCTCAAACTTTCATTAAAAGTGCAAAATAAGCCCTTTTACAAGAGGTTTTGTCTGGCTGTCGCCATTTGAGGAGGTTTCCGGTGGAATTTTTTGATGAATTTTTTTTAGCACCTTCTTCATCAAATCTAGTTTATTCATACTAAATTTCAGCTAAAAATTCATTTTAGGAGACAGTCAAATGATTTTCTTAAATATATTGCGCTGTCTAACCGCGCATTTATCTTCAAAAATTCATTTGACTGCCTTCCCGATTGAATTGTTAGATGGAATTTGGTATGAGTAAACTAGACTTAATGATGAAGATACTCAAAAAAATTCATCAAAAAATTCCACCAAAACTGCCCCAAATGGCGACAGCCAGACAGAGACTCCTATAAAAGGGCTTATTTGCACTTTTTATGAAAGTTCGAGTGCTTATTTGATAGTTCTCCCTTGATCGATTTAATAAAACTCCGGGTATGGAATACGTTTGAAACAAAATAATCAATCAATCTCTGTTTATCTCATTGATGTATATTGAGTATTCCCGTGCAACGTACAGGTTCATCGTCTAGTTGTGCTAAGAATGACATGCATTGTGATTAACTCCAGCTGCAACATATTTAGCTCAAGTTTCACCGCTATCTACCGGATTTTCGATTTGTTTCGGGGATTAGTAGATTTTTTTTAACAATTCAGCAAACGGGCCTCTTCGTGAAACATTAAACTCGCTGCTCTTATATTCTAATCGTCGAATCATGATAATCAAGGTTTAGATGAGCTTTTAAAGAAGAAAGCATATTTTAAGGCACCAACTGATCTGGGTCTTTTTATTTAGAGACTTACTTTTACCTTCTCTGATATTCAAGGAAGTCTCGATGGGGCATTTGTGGGCATATAAAAATTATTGGGCTAATGTTCAATTCTATTGGGTTGCTCGTGATGGTTATTGAGTCTTATAAAAATATTAATAGGGACTCATTCGGATAAAATTTAATAATTGAATTAATTTGGGTCATTAAAAAAAATACCCAATTGATTTAATTATAAATTAAATCATTAAAAGAATGAACCAGTCCTATTAATTTATTTATTTTGAGCCCAATATTAAATTAATGGCCCAATAAATGAGAGACATGATCAAATATACGAAGAGAAGGAATAATTTAGTTAAGACATCAATCCATATGTATGAGAAATTGCTATGAATAAAAAAAGGTTGTCCAGATACATCGAACAAGTGTTGATCTTCCCAATTTTGTTTTTTGAGAAATAGCTATGAATCTTGTTTAAAAGGTTGTCTAGATACATCGAACAAGTGCTGATTTTTCTAGCTATTAGAATGCAAACAAATAGAGTCCAAAACCCATTTTATTTGAGAGCCTAGGCATATGGACGAATTTGCTAAACCCTAAAGCATATTTTCACCTCCTCCACACCTATAAATAGGGCTCTCTGTTGATGGAAAAGAGGAGAGAACTTCTAGACGAAAAAACGCTGTAGAAAAGCTGAGAAGAACTTCTGAGAGGCTCTGAACGATTCCGAAAAAGAGACAGAGATCAAGCCACGAATTTTATTAAGAATATACGAATGATCCTTTGTGATTTCGTTCATTCTTGATAAAATAAATCCAAAAATTGAAGAACGTTCGAAGATCTGGAGAACGAAGCTCGAAGATTCAAAGATCTAAAAAACAATGCTTTGAATATTCGAAGATATGAAGAACGAATCTTTGAAGATTTGAAAATATTCATATAAAGATTGAATAGAGATTCAATTGAAGATCATGTCATATATCCTGGGAGACCCTTAAACAGAAGATCAAGAAATAAAACGGCCCTTTTGTTGAAAATCAAGCCACTTGAAAACCGGATGCTCTTCAGTTGAGTTCTTAATTCAAGAAGATTTGAAGATCCGAAGAACGAAAATTTGAAGATCTCAAGAACAAAGATTCGAAGATCTGAAGAACGTTCGAATGTTTGAAGGATTAAAGATTTGATTTTAAATTAAATTCTTTAATTATATTATTTCAAGTTGCAAGTGAAGAATTAGAGGATTCATATTTAGAGATTGTATCCAATATTCTCATATATTATTATTTGCAATCAATTTTAAGTAAATACTTAAAATTCGTTTCACATACATACACTAGTGACATCGCTAATCACCGATGTGTATTACCTGGTAGTAGTTAGAAGAAGAAGGCTAGATTACAATTGATTTGGAGAGGGGGAAGAAAATATGGCAAAAAAGATATCATTGGCCGGTAGGGGGAAACCGGAAAAGGAAGATGGGAACGGTAGTGAGAAGGGGATGGCAAGGCATGTCCAACTAGACATGGACCGGGCCCGAACCGGGTTAGGCTCTGGGCCGGTTCAAGCCGGGCTTTTTTTCAGATGTTGGACCCGTAACGGACCCGAGTTGATACCGGGTCCTGGCCAAATCGGTTCACGGGCCGGTTCGGTCCACCCCTATGTCCAACACTTCAAAACACTCCAATTTAGGGTGTTAAAAAAGTCACATAATGGAGTGTTAGGAAGGTTTAACCCAACACTTTGAAATTTAAACACTTACTAACACTCAAATTTCTTTTAAAATCTCCCAAACAAGTGTCAAAACCAACACTCCTTAACATTTCCATTACTAACACCCTTCAGCACCTAATCGAAACAGTCTGTTAGGAATAATTTTGTCTGGGGTGTTTTTTGTCATTTAAGATTTAAGTGGTTTCTTTTTTTTTTCAAATGGAAAACTAGTCCTATTTTTGTCTAGACATAAGTTAGGAGTAATACTTTTGCCATTCTTTGTAGAAAGAAATTGACGAGCAGTCTTATTTTTGTCCTAAATGAAATTAAGTTTCATTTTGATTTGGTCAAAACCTGAGAGTCTTATTTTTGACATTATTTCCTTTATGTCTCTTATTTTGTTTTAATACAATTATTAATAAAGTTCTTTAAAAAAATTGTGATAGAGATTTGAGTATAATAAAGTGAAATGTTGTATACCAAAAATTTCTTTTAAAAAAGGAAATGTGAACTTATTTTGAAACAACATACAAAAAGAAAACATGATAGGTAAAATGAGATAGAGGGAGTAATATATATAGAGTTTTTTCCAGATTAATGCGTTTTAATTAAGTATTTACGGAATTAATGTTGGGTTAAAACTATTTACCAATATACTGCCAGACTTAACTCTGATTGGGGAAAGTCACCAAACCGTTTGACGACTTTCCCCTCCCCAAGAGCGTTGACACCAAAACGTTCTGTTTCAGACCGGCACCGGTCGGTGGCCAACCAAGGCTGGTTGGGCGCCCCCAGTGGCCAAAATTTTCATTTTCCGTCTTAAAACGATCCCGATTGTCCCAGTTCACCGTTTAGCGACTTACAGAACACATACAAAACACAAGTTGATAAAAATGATACAAAACGACACAAATGCTCAGAAACTTCGTATAAAAATTCATTATAGACATCCAATAGCATAACCAAACACATCAAGACATCATAAACAAATGAAAAAGTACTAATAACACAATATCCATTAGTTTGCAGGTGGAAATACGTAAATAGGTATAGTATTTCTACAATATTTGGTGTGCATGAGTAAGTCTAATAATAGAGAGACTACAAGTTTTCATGGTCTACAAGCATGCAATGTAAGGACAGAAGAAACAATCAGCCCTGGATCCGCTGACACCTCCACAATGCCTACAAAAAATGAAAAGGTGTTAGTCAATAATTAATTAATAATTTTAAATCAATATGTTTTATTTCACATTAGTATGAGTTATGGATTTCAATAATTAAATCCTTACCCAGTGGACCCCCCACCATCTCCTGAAGATCTCTTCGCACAAGTGGCCCTATGATGATCAGTTTGTTTACATATTCTGCATCTTACGGTTCCTCTACCACCTTCATCCATCTCATTCTTAATTCGTGTGGACTTTGGTCGTCCCTTTGCACGAAGCATGGATGGATCGTGCACAATTCGTGATCCATTGTAAGCATATTTAAGAAAATCATATTACATATACAACACTTAAGCAATTCAAAATAATAAGTTTTTCACATACAAATGCACAACTGTTAGAGTGGATTTCAGCCCATTGGGCTTATTGTAATCCAAAGATGTAATAACCGGTGTAGTGTATATATACTCCTGCCATTGATCAATAAAGTGTAGAGCCTTTACAATCTGTCATTTTAATCTTACTCTCTTTCCTCTAACTGACTTAACGAACTGAGCTAATAGTGGTATCAGAGCTCCGGCGATCTGTGAGGGAACATGACTACCGGTAGTGGAGGCAATCTGATCGGAAATCTACCAATTCTTGATTCCAAGGATCTTGATGGCTACGACAGGTGGAGCATCAAGATGAAGACTATTTTTGGTTTCCAAGAAGTCTTGGACATAATTACTTCCGGCGTACCAGTGCTTGAGGACACTGCAACGGAGGTTCAGCGGAATCAACATAAAGAAGCGAAGAAACGGGATTGCAAGGCTCTCTTTTACATCCATCAGTGCGTTGATGAGAAAAATTTTGAAAAGATTGCGACAGCCTCCTCTGCTAAGGAAGCGTGGGACATTCTTGAATCGAGTTATGCCGGAATCTCAAAATTGAAGGCGGTCCGGCTTCAGATGCTACGACGTCAGTATGAATTACTTAACATGGAGCCTCAAGAATCAGTAAGTGATTATTTCAATCGCATTTTGAGTATCACTAATTTGATGAAATCATGTGGTGAAACGCTGAAGACTCGAACAATCATTGAAAAGATTCTGCGCACCCTACCTCCCCAATTTGATGTGACTACCTCAAATATAGAAGAATCCCGTGATCTTGATACCATGAAGATTGATGAACTTCAAGGGACATTGGAGGTCCGTGAACACAGGCTTAAAGAACGAGATGCTCAGAAACCTTCTACCTCTGAACAATCTCTGTTGGCACTTCCTCCCAAGAAGCATGAGTTGGGGAGAGGAAGAGGCACCTCAAGAGGTGGCCGAGGTCGAGGCAGAAGGGGTGGCAGAGGTAGAGCTGCTTCAAGTGGTCGCGGTCAGGGTATTCCTACTGAATGTTATCAGAAGGATACATATGGAAGAGGTAGAGGAAATCCCAACTGGAGAGGAGGAAGAGGAAATCCAAGAGGCAGTTCAAGAGGGGGTGGACGGGGTGCGTGGAAAGGCAATGACAGTTATAAGGATAAAAGTAACATTCAATGCTATGTGTGCAGTAAATATGGTCATTTCTCTTATGAATGTTGGTACAGAGATCAGTCTGGTGAAAAAGAAGAGGAAGCACATGTTGCAGAGAATCAAGGTTCAGATGAAGAGGTTGTACTTATGGCTACTACAATGGCAGAATCTGATCTGAATTGTGAAAATACTTGGTACCTGGATACAGGGTGTTCAAACCATATGTCTAGTAGGAAAGATTGGTTTGTTGAACTGGATGAAAATGCCAAGAGCAAGGTCAGATTTGCTGATGATAGTATCATCAACACTGAAGGAAGAGGGAAAATTCAAATCAGTTGTAAAGATGGTAAGAAGGCCCTAATTTCAGATGTATTGTTTGTACCTGCTATGAGACATAATTTGTTGAGTCTAGGGCAATTGCTAGAGAAAGACTATCGAATTCATATGCAGGATAGATTCATGAAAGTATTTGACAAAAATGGTGTTTTAATTTTAAAGGCTCCTCTATCCCCTAACAGGACCTTTAAGATTGACATTCTTGTTAATAAGGATGTATGTTTCAAAGTTGATGCTCTAGAAGAAAGTTGGTTGTGGCATTATAGATTTGGACATCTAAATTGGAAGAGTTTAAAGCAGTTGGGTGAAAAGAAAATGGTTATAGGTCTGCCTTCCATACAGTCTGAAGCAAAGATCTGTGAAAATTGCATTGTTGGAAAACAAACTAGGAGAGGGTTTAAATCCTGGATTCCAACAAGAAGTAAGAAGGTGCTGGAGGTTGTCTACTATGATGTGTGTGGACCCTTTGAGGTTCCATCTTTAAGTGAAAAGCAGTATTTTGTCTCCTTCATAGATGACCTTAGCAGGAAGATGTGGGTTTACCTGTTAAAACACAAGTCTGAGGTCTTTACAACTTTTAAGAAGTTTAAAAACCTGGCTGAAAAACAAAGTGGAGAAATGATCAAAGTACTCAGGACTGATGGTGGAGGAGAGTATCTGAGTAATGAATTCAATCAATTCTGTGAACAAGAGGGAATAATACATGAAGTCACAGCACCTTATACCCCACAACATAATGGTTCTGCGGAAAGGAGGAATAGAACAGTGCTTAACATGGCTAGAAGCATGTTGAAAGCCAAGAATTTGCCCAAGTGTTATTGGGGTGCAGCTGTAACTACTGCAACCTATCTTCTCAATAGATGCCCTACTAAAAGATTGAATCAAATCACACCTGAGGAGGCTTGGTCTGGTCAGAAACCATCTGTGAAGCATCTGAAAATATTTGGGTCTGTATGCTATAGGCATATACCAGATGAAAAGAGGAAAAAGCTGGGTGACAAGAGCCAAAAGTTGATATTGGTAGGCTATGATCCTACTAGGGCTTATGTTCTCTATGATCCTGATGAGAGGAAGAGTGCAATCAGTAGAGATGTGATAGTAGATGAATCAAGCTCTTGGAATTGGGATGAGAAGAACTCCACACATGTACTGTTTCCATTACTCAGTACAGAAGATGGAGAGGGGTTTAATGAAACTCACAATGAAGATAACACTTGGGATAATGATCAGAATTCAGAAGATAATCAGAATGTGAGGACAGTAAGGAGCAGGAGAGCACCAAGGAGGTTGAATGACTATGAAGTATTGTCTGATGACATGATTAACAATGATGGTGAATTGGTTCATCTAGCTTTCTTTGGTGAGATTGAACCAGTTAAGTATGAAGATGCAGTGAATGACTCTAGATGGCTAGATGCAATGAAGGAAGAGTTATCTGCAATACAGAGGAATAACACTTGGGAATTGACAGATTTACCCAAACACAAGAAAGAGATTCCAGTAAAATGGGTTTATAAGCTAAAGAAAGGACCTGATGGGTCTATTGTTAAATTCAAAGCTAGATTGGTGGTCAAGGGTTTTCTGCAGAAAGAAGGAATGGATTACAGTGAAGTTTTCTCTCCAGTTGCTAGATTAGAGACCGTCAGAACACTAGTAGCCTTGGCAAGTCTCAAAGGTCGGAAATTACATCAAATGGATGTAAAATCAGCTTTTCTGAATGGCCCTTTGAAAGAGGAGGTATATATCTCACAACCACCAGGTTTTGAATTGAAAGGCAGTGAAAGAAAGGTATACAAACTCCATAAGGCTCTATATGGCTTGAAACAGGCCCCTAGAGCCTGGAATAGGAGGATAGATCAGTTTCTATGCAAACTTGGTTTCATCAAATGCAGTGTTGAACATGGAGTGTACAGCAAAGCCTCAGGGGGAGAACTGATCTTAGTATGCTTATATGTTGATGATCTGTTAATAGCAGGGAGTAATGAAGATCATATTGGGGAATTCAAAAGAAGCTTGAAAAGTGAGTTTGAGATGACAGATATTGGAGGCTTAGCTTATTTTCTTGGAATGGAGTTTGTGCAAACCAAGGATGGTATATTAATACACCATAAGAAGTATGCAGAAGATATTCTTGAAAGATTTGAGATGAAGAACTGTAATCCAGCTGTTACTCCCTGTGAAACAAATCTGAAGTTGGGAAACAATGAAGAAGGAAAACCTGTGAATCCAACTATATTCAGGCAGATGGTAGGAAGTTTGAGATATTTGTGTTCAACCAGACCAGATATCACTTATGTTGTAGGGTTCATTAGCAGGTTTATGGAGAAGCCAAAGACATCACACTTGATTGCAGCTAAGAGAATTCTTAGGTATATTAAAGGTACATCAGATTTTGGCATTCTACTGCCAAACTCAGTCAAGAATAAGGAAGAACTGGTGAATGGGTATGCTGATTCAGACTGGGCAGGTGATCTGACAGACAGAAGGAGTACCTCAGGGTATGTGTTTAGGATAGGTGATGCACCAGTATCCTGGTGCTCAAAGAAACAACCAGTGGTGGCATTATCATCATGTGAAGCAGAGTATATATCTGGTGCCTTTGCAGCCTGTCAAGCACAGTGGTTGGATTCTCTGTTAAGGGAAATGCAGATTGAAACTAATACTACAACAGTTCTGAAGTTGGACAACAAATCAGCTATAAATCTGGCCAAGAATCCTGTGGCTCATGCTAGAAGCAAACATATAGAAACCCGGTTTCATTTTCTCAGGGATCAGGTGAATAAAGGGAAGCTGAATTTGAAGTACTGTAGTACACAAGATCAATTGGCAGACATCTTGACAAAACCTTTGAAGATACAAGTTTTTCTGAAACTGAGAAAGGAGCTGAACTTGATTTCTTGTGCTGAAATTCAGGGGGAGTGTTAGAGTGGATTTCAGCCCATTGGGCTTATTGTAATCCAAAGATGTAATAACCGGTGTAGTGTATATATACTCCTGTCATTGATCAATAAAGTGTAGAGCCTTTACAATCTGTCATTTTAATCTTACTCTCTTTCCTCTAACTGACTTAACGAACTGAGCTAATAACAACAACATCATAAAATTACATTGAATTCAAGATTAAAATTCAACATTTCATACATATTTACATTTCACAACAAATCAATTCATAAATCACCTCCTAATTTACAAATTCGAAAATTATCAATTCAAACCCTAAGTTGAAAAATGAGATGAAATTGGGGATTTGATGTACCTAGAGGTTGATGATTGGGGAGTGTATTTGGTAGGTGGAATGGCCTCCTAGTAGATGTAGTCACCGGAGTGGGTTGGTGCAGTCGTTCTTCGCCGGAGCTGTTTTGCTGGATGCGTTCGTTCTATATGTTTGTGAAGGTCTGCGTAGCAGTTTCTTGGGGAGGGAAAAGTCGCCAAACGGTTTGGCGACTTTCCCCGACCAGAGTTAAGACCGGCAGTATATTGGTAAATAGTTTTAACACAACATTAATTCCGTAAATACTTAATTAAAACGCATTAATCTGGGAAAAAACTCTAATATATATTATAACTAGTAACAGATATCGTCTTCAATGCTTAATTGATTATACAGAGTGGCAAACCCAAATTATACATAGAAAAACGCAATCAACTTCAAAAAATCATTTGAAGGCCTTTCCGGTCGAATTTTGAGCTGACATTTGGTATGTGTAAACTAGACTTGATGAAGAACATACTATAAACATTTCATCAAAAAATTACACCGGAAACCGCCCTGAACGGCGTTGTTCGGACGGTATTCGAACGGGGAATGTTCGGACCTGAACATTCCTTCGGAATATATATTAAGGTTCAAATGAGAAAGACATCTTAGGAGAGAAATGAGAATGATCTATAGCCTTTGGATCAAATTTTATTTTTGATTGCCATTTTTCTTTCTAAAGGGTAAATAAGATATTTTAATATCTCCTTTATTGCATTTATTACCTCCTAATCAATTAAAGTAGCTACGTATAATTTTATTTCCTTTTTCAATTTTTTGCTCTCTTTCATATGCATTACGTTACTTTCACTTTTTTATATTATTATTATTTTACTTCATTCACATTTTAAGAAGTTTAATTAGTTAAAGTCATATTTTCAACATATTTTATGCATTTATTTTGATTTATTATTTCTTTATTAATTCCATATTATTTATCTATATGCTTTCAACCAATTTAACTATGCACTTTTAATATTTGAATTTTGTCCAAAAAATAACAATTTTGCAAATAAGGGAATATCATTAATATGTCTATTATGCTTTTACAGGTCTTATTAATAAGTATCACCAATTTATATACAATATTTGCATTACGGCTATATTTTATACTTTTACATGATGCAAGTTCACCAAAAAATTGAACTTGTATCCACTAAAGTTTAACTTTTTACAAATTTAATTATGCACACCAAATTTGTACCTAAAGTGACTATGGTGCATAGTTGTAGAAGCTATGTGCAATATAAAAGTACACATATTTTTTTATTCATATACAAGAGTAGAAACTTAAATTTAAGGAATGAAATATTAATGGTATAGTGCATAGCGTAATGTACAAAAGTGCAACAAAGTTTAGAAAATTTATTCTAAGACGCCCGTCATATATTCATTATAAGTGCATACACATAAATATTAAAATACAAGGTGAATCATATATCCATTATAAGTGTATACACATAAATATTAAAATACTATAAAGTGCATGATATTTATCTATATACAAAAGGAGGTGAAAAACAGTCCAATTTTCCCGCTCAAAACCGTCACTATCATGGTCAAGATTCGGTCCAACCCAAAGGTTTGGTTGTGTAGTGCGCCGGAAGCTAATATAGGGTGTCCTGTTCAAAGTTGTGCTGCGTGAGTGTTGTCCAGTCCCATCACCTATGATACTTTTGGTTTTATATCCACACAAATGTAAATGTTTTGCACTCCGGGTAAAAAATCAAAAAGGCAATTTCTATGGCACCTTGAAGGTATGGTACCTTGATGGTATGGACCAATCAAAAAATTTCAATTGGATAATTTAAATGCAAATAAAATGTAAAACTTTGAGTTGCGCCAATGAAATGCATCCTAGGTATGGTACCCTCCTATTTTTGTTCGGTACCATACCAAGCACCTATAAAAAATACTCTGTATACTCTATACGTAGTATTTTATGTCCTGGCAGGATTAAAACTAGGCACTCGGCTGAATTGAGAGGACTCCAACGGAAGAATTCCAGGTTGAGCGGTAAGTGTAGAGCTGGAAAATATATTGGCCGGCGAAGATGGAGCCGGAGGAAGTGGAGGTTGCGGAAGCATAACTTGGAGAACAGAGGGGGTCGGTGTCCATGTGAATGGATCTGGCATGTTGAACAAAGTAAAGGACAATTCCGACGGACTGAAGGAATTCACCATCAATGATGATGGCGGCAGAACTGGATCGACTGGAGGCTGCTCCGCATGGTAGAGGCGTGCGCCATGTATGAGACAGTCGGAGAAGAGATAGCAGCAGTAGTGTTCATGGTCTACTACATGATGGTCTGCGGCTGAGAGGAGGGCGACATGGTTGCCGCAACAGAGGAAGTCGGCTGAGCGGAAGTCATCATAAAAAATCAGGAATTGCAAGAGTATCCTTATATAGTTCTCAAGGCCGGTTTGGGGGGGGGGGGGGGGGGGGGGGGGCAAGAGGGGCGACCACCATAGGCCCGAAAAAAATAGAAGAAAAAATAGGCCCAAAATATTTTCTTTATATATAGTGTGAGTAGGCTTCTTTTTTTATCTTAAGTTCAATTAATTAGGTCTAATGATTAATTTTGTTGACAATTTGAAAATTCAAAACATAAATAAAGAGTCTTAAACAGAGACAAGTTTAAAACAGAATATATACATTAATTTTTAGCAGGATCAGTTGTAGTTTTGAAAAGCAATACAATTGTTGTTGCATAAATAAAAGACATGTGTAGTCCTCACATCTTTTTAGCTTTTAAGGTTTTTTATTCAATTTAATTATAACATAACAAATTTATATAATCATTTTTGCTTAGAGTCCGTTTCTCTCAAAGTTCATCCCAATTATTCGTTTGTTTCCAAATTTCAATAAGCTATATCTGAGTTCCTAATAGTAGTTTTAGAGGACGTCAAATTTGCAATCTTCTTGCACGAGTCCTCTTGGCAGCCAAACATTTTGTCTCTTTGAAATTCTTCATTCTTTCGAGACTTCAAACTTTAGACTCTCATTAGCGGTAAATAAATCATTCTTAATTTATGAATTCAATATGTGGTAATATTTCTTTTCATTTATCATTTCAAAAGAAAGTTTATTGTTGTTATATGTGGCAATTTTATTGTTTGTCATATTTATTAGTGGAAAGAAGGTTGCCTATGAAGCAATTATTAATGATTTGCTTCACATTGGTCTACGAGAAACGTTTTTAAATAAATGTTTTTTCTTTTTATTCAATACTCGTGTTGTTACTTTTTCCCAAATGTGTAACTTATATAATAATAAAGTGATTCTTGTCTTTATTTTATGAACTTAATTGCCTGAATATAGTGTACTGTTTGTCATGGATATAGGCCCAAAATAGTGTACCACCCATAGGCCCAGAAATGGACGGGACCGGCCCTGATAGTTCTATTAGCTTAAGGATATGGCCAATTTCATTTAGATTTGGCATAGAGGCAAAGTATCCGGCGATTGACTGTAGCAGTGCAATGAAACTGCTTGTGAGTCGAGACCATGTGTGGCCCTAGACTTCTGATGTCTAGGTACGGTTAGCAGCTTCTTCAACTAATTTTATTTGCACCGTTAGATTCATATTGAAAAATTAATACTCCGTATTTGTTCGTTGAAATCTTGAGAGCATAGAAGTTATGATGGTGTTTATGTAATTTAATTTCAGCTCACTAACTTTTTTTTGAAGTAGAAGAGATTCACTGAATACATTTTTTACATCCCGAGGTGCCTTGTTTTATATGTTTATAAAAGCTGTAAAAAGAGAATTGTTGAAGTGATTATCATAAACTCATATAGTGGAAATGATTTAATATGCTAATTTCTGCCACTTCTCATTCTTTTTTATTCTTCTTAAGTTATAGACTGCATTTATGAATATATGTTTTCTGATTCTTTTATTCTTCATTTAGGATTTGTCTATTCATATCATTTTATCACAAGTAACTGTTGTTGAGGCAGCTTTTAACATTTTTGAAAGTTGGGCTTCTTTCTAAAATAAGCAGTATGAGACTAAAGAAGATTCAAAGAACTTTTTAATAGACCAAGGAGCTTATGTTTTTCTCAAATACAGAGTATATGATATACTTATTTAAATTAATTTTTTAGAGGCTAAAGAGCTTTTATTTTTCTGATTCTTTAAGAGGCAGTTTAGAAAAATTCGAAACTAAAAAATCAATTTATACTAAAGAGGCAGTTCAAGTGGCTTGAATATTCATTTGTAATTTTAAAACAAAAAATGGGCGAAAATATTCCAAGTATAGGAAATTTCAATGACATCCCTATAGGCTTCATATTGATTAGTCAATTTGTTGTTTGGAAATAGTTAAGAGGCTGTCAAGCAGTCCAGGAAAGCCAATGGGCAGTTGAAGCAAGAGTTAGGACTCTGGCCATTGAAATGGGAGTCCAGCAAGCCAAGGGACTATCCAGACACAAGGTAAGACTCATGAAAGATTCTTAAGTCTTTAAGATCCTTTTTAAGTAAAAACCTCCTTAAATCCCTATGCAATTTGAACTCTGAATCTATATTTTTTTTAGATGTGATAGTTAGTTAGTGTGTGTGTGTGTGTA